AGATGATTACTACCAAAAGTTCACAGCAGTTTGCCAGTCTGGGCCCCAATAACACACTGCAAGTCTGCAGCATGAAGAGAAGACAGCTTGTTCAATCCTGGCCAGAGTCTTCTGAACCTGACTTTCTAACTGAGCCCTTTGTCGCACTAAGCAGTTACGGAAACCCGTATTACACCCCGGCCCCGTTCGCTCCCCTTCCAAAGAAGCTGCCCGCTCTCTCCTGTTTAGCCACAGTCAACGCCAGCATTACATCATGGCGAAAGCCTTCGTGGAGCCATGCCCGCCCAATTAGCAGCCAATTCTGCTCTTCCCTGACGCATCAAATTTTCGACCACCCCAGTCGCTGTCCTGCCCGACCTTTCTTGCAGCCTCCCCTCGAAGTGCCCGGCCGGCTTCTCAGGCTGCCCTCAGCTGGCTTCGCTTCCAGACTTGCCAGCTCTGGGACAGAGAAGGGCTTTGTCCTGCTAGGCTCACGTGCCCCACTCTGTCTGGAGTTGCAAAAGGGCTTCCTCGTGTCGCCCACCATGCTTTCTAGCAGCTCACAAGTTCTTCGCGATCTATATATCCTGTGCATTCAAAGCACCCCTTTCGAGAACAATCTCAAGGAACAAGACTAATGTGTCTGGGATTCTTTCTTTTTTCCCCCTTTTTGCTGGAAATATGTCTTCTAACCAGCTGTCCCATTGCTGTTCCATTTGTTTAAGATTGGTTCAAAAAAAATAATAGCAGAGCCCTCTGATAATATATCCTCTGCAAGAAGATCAAATCAGTCAATCCTAAAAGAAATCAACCCTGACTGTTCCCTGGAAAGCCAGATAATGAAACTGAAGCTCAAATACTTTGGCCACCAAATGAGAAGGGAGCACTCACTGGAGAAGACCCTGATGCTGGGAAAGATTGAAGGTCAAAGAAGACGGGGACGGCAAAGGATGAGATGGTTAGACAGTGCCATAGATGCAACGAACATGAAATTGAGCAAACTGCAGAGGACGGTGGAAGACAGGAGGGCCTGGCGGGAGCTGGTCCATGGGGTCGCGAAGAGTCTGACTTGACTGTGCGACTGAACAACAACAACTGATAATATATACTGTAAAAGGAACTGTGGTATCCATGCCGTTAATGCTTTCAAATTTTTGGCTGCGCTCACACACCGTGATATAACCACCATTTATCAACTACAGTTTGTTTCAACTTAATTTAGGCCCCGTTCACACGGAGAAGTTGCTACGCTAAAGACACGAGTGACAGGTGGATTTTCGGTGGGCGATCACACCGCAACATCTCGGAAGCATAGTGCACCCGTGGCTAACCTGTGGCTTCCCACCGAAGATGCGGAGTAAAAAACTACTGCAGGAAGTGCATTAGTTTCCGGAAACCACAGGGCAGGTGCAGGCGTCTGATCGCATTTCCGCTTGAATCCCGTGGCATCTGGCGCCTGTCCACATCCCGTCACAAGCCAGTTGGGGTTTTTTAGTCTCCACAGGATGCGCACAAACGCCCAACGGCGCATGCGCAAACGTCAGTGGGGGGAATTCCCATTTGCCATGGAAGTGGCGCCTAGCGATTGCCGGTGTGATCGCGCCGCTTCTTTGCCGCGCTTCAGGATAGTCGTGTGACTATCCCAATGAAGGCACCTAACAGCCCAACCATGGGAACTCCACGGGACGTGTGATCGGGCTGCCGCGCTTTACTTTGCCCCGGGGCAAACAGCCACGCTCCCCCCCGCCCCGCATTTTCCGGCCCGTGTAACTGGGGCCTCAGTATGATGTCTGATTGCAGGCTCCTCAAACTGCGGGTTGTCCTCACCAGTTTGTCACACAACACATGACTCCAGAAATCCCTGCTGGCTCAATAGCACTGACCCTCTTACCCTCCTGCAGAGAGGGAGGCGTAGAACGACGGGAAAGAAAATCTGCTTATGCCACTCCAGCTGCACATCGTGTCAATGCTGCTTTCGATGCTATACCATGTGCCTCTCACCTTCTCTCCACTTCCACCTCTCTGCCAGTGTTCTCTCTAAGCTGAGTTAGTGTGAGCTAGGTCACAATTTTTAAGCCTCTGGCTCACACTTTTTTTGTCTTAGCTCAGGGAGGGATGGCTCTAGAGAAAATTAATTCATGCAGTAGCCGAATCCCTCGCTCACAACTTTAATGCCAGGAGCTCACAAAGTAGAATTTTTGCTCACAAGACTCCACAGCTTAGAGGGAGCATGGCTCCCTACTAGCAGGAACGTTCTCCCAGAGACTTCAGCCCCCTCCAAAGGAGCAATTTACGAGGCAGCAGAACATCAAGGAAGTATTGGGGGGGGTGGCCCCCTATAAAAAGACTTATTTTGTTTCAGAGTTTAAAAGTTCAGGAATTCGACGAGGTAGCTAGATAGAAAGTTGGGAGGAGGACAGAGACTGAAAATCCTTTGGCAAGGGGCTCGACCTGGTCGAGGCCTCTCCCCTCTTCCAAAGAAGCGGCGTTACACCCCCCTCTTCTGAACCCAATGAAGTCACTGGTCTACAAAGAGTGCGGTTCTGTTCAGGATCGCATTTTTAACCTACCGATCACAATCGTTTTTAGAACACCACTTTTACTTTCAGAATCGGAGGGGTTTCAAAAAATAAGGAACAGAGTCCCGGAGGTAGAGCTAGCCAATCTGCACAATGCAGCCAATAAGACCTGCTCTCCTCTTAGCCACGGGATACTCCCCACTGTAGGACTTCTCCCTAGCACTGTTCCCTCTAAGCTGAGTTAGTGTGAGCTAGCACACCGTTTTTTAGCCTCCGGCTCACACCTTTTTGTCCTAGCTCAGGAAGGGATGGCTCCAGAGCAAACTAATTCATGCAGCAGCCAAATCGCTCGCTCACAACTTTAATGCCAGTAGCTCACAAAGTAGAATTTTTGCTCACAAGACTCCACAGCTTAGAGGGAACATTGCTCCCTAGTTATTTTTACCAATTACAGACTCCAAAGATTCGCAGCTTTTTTTTCTCTTGCCAGGCTTAATGTTTTACCGTCAGCGATTTTAAGCAGAAGATTTCAGGGTATACCCCTTATTAACAGAAATTGCCCCTGTTTAAATGGAGCTATTGAAACAGTGTCCTATGTGCTGTTAGAGTGTCCTTATTATAATAACATTAGACAAAGTATTTGATCTCCAATCTTATCCAGCATTATGGATTTTCCTGATGCACATAAACTGCTGTTTCTACTTAACAACACTGATGACAATATAACTGATTCAGTGGCAAAAATTTTATGTTGCTGTTTTTATATGAAGTAATATGCTGTAACCTTGGGATATTTTAATTCGTGATTCGTTTTATGTTTAGTTCTTCTATAGCCCCTGCCACACGGCAGTGAAAACACGAGGCGAAGCGTGGCTTTTACGCCAAAAAACAAACGCGCGGCGGGATCCCACGGATCCCGTTAGCCGCGCGCCGTTGCTCCCCGGCACGATCAGATGCCGGGGAGGAAGAGGCGAGTGGGAGGGGGAGGCTGCCGAACTGCGCATTCTCGAGCATGCGCAGTTCGGCCGGGGGCCGGGATGTGCCGGCACAAGGACGCGCCGGCCGATCCCACGGCCGGCTTGAGGCGCTTCAATCGGAAGAACCACCCAGGTAGGTGGTTCTTTTTGGTGCAGGTTTTTGGCCAGGAGAGACAGATCGGAGACGGGCAGGCAACGATTCCCAGATGTTGCCGTGGGATCATGCCCGTTTGATCCGCCCCCGTTCTGTCTCGCTCCCGGACCAAAACCCCTCGTATGAACGGGGCCTATATGTTTAGTTCTTCTGTGTATTTGCTTAATGTTCTCCCCTTTATAATGCCAATAAAGGGATGATGATGATGATAACGCCACTTTACGCAACGTAACGGGGGACTGCTCAGCTCGCCAAGCCCAGTCTCCACCACAGGCAGTCTGGGACCTTCACCCCGAGGCCTGTCATGCCAGAAGACAAGCTTCTCTGAGAGAGATCGTGGCAGGCAGGTGGGGCTTCACACTGCTGACCCCCTACCCGCCTGCTTTTTCTTCTAGACATAAGCAGACCATCTAAATTGCTTCGGGTCCTTCTCCTAGCCCATATTTTAATTTATATTTCTGTAAAACCATCCATTTACGCAAATCAAGGTGTGGCATTCAGGGCAGCGAAGAGGAGAACCCATTTAGCTAACATCCAACTTGTTTGCATTCATACAGAAGCCGACTTTGAAGGAGATGATTCATAACTAGAATACTTCATAACTCTCCTTCCCCAATCATCAAAAAATTTCTAGTGACAACAAATTAAGAAGAAGAAGAGATTGGATTTATACTCCTCCCTTCACTTGGAGTCTCAGAGCGGCTTACACACTTCTTTCCCTTCCCCTCCCTACAACAGACACCCTGTGAGGTGGGACTGGGAGAGCTCTTTCGAGAATTGCCCTTTCAAGGACAGCTCTAACAGAACTACGGCTTGCCCGAGGTCATTCAGCAGCTGCGTGTGGAGCAGTGGGGAATCAAACTACACCAAACTGGCTCAAAAGGCAATTGCACAGGTATATTAAGCACCATGTATTTTTAAATCGTGCCTATTTTATAGTTAATTTTTAAATTAACCAAGTAGCAGATTAAGAAATGCTATTGTGGGGCGGTCCACTCAGCTATTGCTAACGCCAACAAGTTTTTAAAAATCTTTTTAAAAAATCTTTCAAATTAAATGAGTCATTGCCTGCAGTAATAAAAGTCAAAGAGGATACCAAACCTTTTATTGCTCCAGTCATTACAAACAGCCTTCATTAACTGGAATGATTTTGATATGCTTATCTTACAAGTCTTCTTAAAAGCTTTGAAGTCTGTTTGAAGGCTGTACCGCTTGCAAGCCTTAAGGGCGAAAAGAGGCTTTCGTTTTTAGCAAAAAAATGTGTTTCTCTCTCCCCCCCCCCTTTCCCTGCTGTGATTGAGAAGTCAGCTGCCGAAGTCCAGACCCCAGGCAGTCTGCTGGAAGAAGCACGGCTCTTGCCAAGGAACTCACCTGTTTATCGGCAGGTTGACTCTGAGGTAGAGATCCAGGTGCCAGCACAGGTGAGCTTGCAGGGCTACAAAGCTCAGGAAATGGGTTTGGTATGGCAGGCAAAGAGGAGGTTCTGAACTGCTGCTCTTCTTCTTGGAGGCGTCTATGGAAGGGACGGGAAAATGTCAGATAGAAACCTTGACTAGCAAGGGAACCCAGTTAGCATTAACCCTTTCTGCATCCTTGAATGCAAAAGTGGTGAGTTTATATATATATATATATATATATATACTAGAACTAAGGCCCGTTGTGGAAATAAATACAACGAGATCTAGAAAGAGGCTCTGGGAGAGTGCTCTGGCTTTGGGCAAACAGTGTCAGTCTGCTTTTAAAACATGAACCTGGGACCTGCACACCACCAGAATACAGCAGATTCCATATGCAACTGACATTCCAAC